TCTCTATTGAGGGATGTATAACAAAAGCTTTGAATCATCAAGCCCTATTTAGCTACGTTAGGTTTTGTACATGTTGAAAATCGTGGAGTCTGTGGGTTGCCGTCATGCCGTATTTTTTTCCAGCGTTTCTGTTAGTGCTATACTAGCCTACGCTTACACAAGGTTGTGCAATCCTACCGTTCTGCTCTTCCTTATCCGTATAAATATCCTTACTCATTGCTCATTCCTGTCTTGTACATTTCTCCTCCTCTGTTTCTCTTAGTGTTATATATAAGGACGTTGTTTTTTAATGTAAAATATGACTGTTCTTAGTATTAACCGTAGATCATCACAAAAGATAAACGTAAAGTATTTGGTCTTATTTATTTCCAGCTATAATACGTGTATACTGACATCTCTTCTAAGTTTTCGTTTATTTTATTTATTAGAAACGGTTTCTGCATTTGTTTTGCAAATATGGTTATCTGCAATATAGTGGCATGTTTCAAACGTAACACGTTTGTTTCTTCGGAAAAGATAATAATTGTGGCCATGTAAAGAATATACTTGTTTATACGATTTGTGTAATGAAATCGACAAGAAATGTTTTTAAGATGCAAAATTAGTTATTAAAATATTATTACTTCTTGCAGATCTATTCTCCCAATCTATTCTGCTAACTAAGTAAACGAGAAAATTTAACCAATATAGTAATGACAGTATATCACGCGAAATTAGAATGAATCAACAAATGGTAACGTGTATAGTGGAAGAGTTCAACTTCAAAAAAGATGCGCATAGAACAACAACAATCCTAGACAAAGGTTGGACATTACCAAAACGATGAAAGACTATTAAATTTATAGGTAAACAGGAAGCTTATTTGCAGGAAAAGTTTAATAACAGTGTCTGTTTAGTGAAAATGAAAGATTGACAGCACACCAAATTCTCTCATATTTTTCAGGATTGCGCTCTTCACAAATGAACCAAGCTAGACAACAATCAACAATGATGACGAGGCAACAATAAATAATAAAGAAGTTTATAAAGACGATATAGCTATTGAAGAAATCCTCAAGAGAAAAAAAATTAAAAAATGATTTAAATGAGCAAACATTTGATACAAACCAAAAACGTCCTATGACCAATGATTCAGAGTAAACGAAAACAAAAAAATATCTCTCGTGATCATGAAAAACATAAAATGCAATTCAAACAAGGAACGAATATTTCCATTAACCCTTTAAAGCCCAGTGTCCACTGGGATGGATATTAACGAATATTGTAAAATTACAATCACAAGGTGACGATGCGTCGGATCAAAAAACGGATTAGTTTCCAACGCAAGCTGACACCATAAGCTAGCAATTATTAATAAGGGAACATTTTTTCAGCCGACCTAGACAAAGGTAGAAGAGTTTCAAGTTTAATTAGCTGTGGGTAAAGGATTAACTTTCAATTTACTCGTATGTATAATCTTTTTTCTAATAGTTCTTTTCCAGTATGCATCAATATCAATCATACACATTACTTGCTTCAAAGGTAGTTTCTAAAATTTCGCATTGTCCAATTTGAAGCACAAGAAAACCTCTGCAGGAGAGGCTAGAAACAGATTTACGGTGCCGGTGTATTACCATGATATACGGTAAAAAGATCTGGTAAATATCAGGCAATGGGTAATAATCATAACAAAAAATATTTGCTTAAAAATATATAACCGTAACATGTTTTTCCGAAGTTTGTCAAAAATTTGTTTCATTTAAAATTGTTGAAAGATACTTTATTTTATGCATCTTTTTTAAATATATTACGAACATAGACTTTTTTTCATCAAAAAGTGTCATCGTACGGGCATCTTAGCACAAAGCTTTAAATTTCATAAAACCTTTATTTTAATTGATCCTCGTTTTAGGAATATGGCGATTAAAGCTAGTGCTCAGTGGTGATGAACATGAACAATTGAAACGTTTGTGCGGCCAAGGACGAGACAGGTCGAGGCTATCAGTTATATAATCAACTTGGGCAAGCTACGTCGAATAGGCAAGTACGATCATGCTGAGCGAACTTACCGATAACTGCTGACGAAAAAACCCTTTCCTACTGACACATGTCTTGTTGCCATAATTTACCATGACCTCGGTAGCACATACATCCGCAAGGAAAGGGTTTGGCGCTGATGATCAGCCAAATTGGTCTAGTAGGTGCTGCTTAAGATAACCATACACGCACAGTAAACTGTTTTCATCAGGCCATTGAACATGAAAGTGCATCGGTCTATTCTAACTTACTCGACTCTGCTGCTGTGTTAAAAAATCTTGGCACCAGTTTCAAGCGCTCAGGTGGCCGTGGAAGTTTATTATTGGTGCTCATCACAGAGCCAGATATCGGAACCAAATGGCTCTCGCCCATACAATGGAGAAACCATAAAGCGCAATGCATCCTAAGAAAGTAGAGAATGGGAGTCAGTCAAAACTAGAAAGTAAGATAAAGAATGCAAGTTTAGGAGGTCCACAGACAAATTTTCTGAAAGGCCTGCATATTTTAGCATTTTTGGCATTATTCATTTATTTGTAGGATTAGAGCTAGCTATCTATGCTATTGGCTTAGCTTTCATCTGTATCTTTCTTGCTTATATGGTCATCAATTGTCCTCTCTCAGAACAGCTAGGTCAGGCTTTGTCTAAAAGCTTCATAAGTGTTGAATAACGTCCGGTGGGTGGTCGATGAAGAGTTTGAATCCGTATCTGTACGAGGCTAGTATGGCTCTCTTAAAAATGTTGATCAAAATCTTTCAGTTTTACTCAAAAGCTTTGTTCCGAATGCTCGAGTTCCAACTTATGAATTTTCGTCTTCGTGCAAAGACTCAATTTTTAGGCTGAGAGTGAATGCTAATAGAATTTTCGTTTATTTCTAATAAAAGGATGGTAAAAGGGTATTTAAAGAAGGTTCTCTGTAAAACTTCTCTCATAGAATATTGTAAAAGACCAACGATAATTTATATGTCAGGAAGACCTACATAGAAAACTCCATTTTGTTTTCTCTGTAGTGCTACTGCGCTTGGGCTTAGATCTACAAGAACTTTTTTATCAGCATTGATAAGGCACGAATGTGCATCTATACCAAAGCTTTTTATTACTTCGCATCGGTGCGCATCCATGCAAATTGCTAACTAATTTCGTGGTACTAATGCGCATACATGCAATATCTCTGACTTTTAGGTCTGGCAGCTCAAACTGTACCAATGTTACAAAATGGTTTGTCCGACATCGATGCGTATCGATCGTGTTTTTTGGGATCGATGCGGATGGATGCCATTTTTCTTCTTTTGCCCGTTACATCTTTTGATCTGCGATGTTTAAAATCAAATGCAGCAGAGATTCGAGCTCTTGTCATTTAGTAAGGCATGAAAATCAATCCTAGCTAAGTAAGATGTGCTTTACTACCGGATGCAGCGACTTATAGAGGCACCTTTCTCGTCCCTTGTAATTGCTCGCGACAGAATCGAACAGTGCACAATGAAATGCCATTCGCCCGGGCACCGATCTTTGGCGATGCTAGTGGCCCACAGTATGATATACCAGCCGCATACCAAATCACCAATGCCAATCACTCTTTTTTGCGATGCAGTAGCGGAAATTTTCTTGTAGATGGCTCACCGACTCTTCGCCGAACGACTTTTCCAAGAATCCACATTTACTCTGAAGCTGCTTACTGCCATCGCAGTGCAGTTCGCGGAAGTGTCGTGTCACAAATCAATGCGGCACTTAATCTGACAGATGCGGCATTGTTTTGGAGAATAAACCTATGACATCGACGTGGCACGTACGTGCAACGGTCTTTGTCGATGCTCTTGTAGCATAGCATGCAATGCGCATTCCCACTGCCGAAACCCTTTTTCAAATTGCGCCATCAGAATTTTTTTGTTGAATAGTTTGCAGAAGACACGTGTAGCTTTTAGGATATGCGGCATATCGCATTTCCCTTCAGCCTTTACAGATAGTTTAGGAGTTTTTGTACCGCGAGATTGATAGCGTACCCGCTTTGTGACATCCATATTCGACGGCTCGAAAATTTTCTCGAGGGCTCGAAATCGATACCCTTCGAAAGCTTTTATCGATGGTCCGAACTGTCATTTTCCGAGAGTTCGAGCCCTCGGCGAGGGCCTGTTTTCGAGTACCTGCCACACCTCTCAAACGACTTTTTTCATCTGCATAGATAAAGAGTAAAATATGGCCAGAAAATAGATCAGAGGCGGCAGAACCATAGGGCAATGGGGGCATCGCACTTACAGCTCTAGGGGCATTAGGTACTAGTAGGATGTGAGATAATGTAAAATACTCTGATCGTTTTCGTTGACTTTACAGGAAAAAAAACTGAAAATCGTTTTAACTCTATCTCTGTGAAATAGTGATTTTACCTTCTTCTCCTATGATGATGTATATGTGACCAACACATCAGCTCATCAGAGTTCTTGGTAAGTAAGAAAAGCTGAATCATGTCTAGCGAGAATTATTTTTAAACTTTTTTGGTCAATAGGAAACAAACGTAGTGACGCTTATGTACACTAATCGATTCGATCAAAAAAGCGTAATCTGACAATGCCTATCACGATCTTTCAAGATACTTTCGCTGATATATGCAGACGGAGAAACGCTATTGTGCAGTAAAATCAGCATTTTTAACCTAATATACCGGTACATGAGCGAAATTGGTCGGCAAATATACCGTTCGATAAATCTATCCATAGTCAAGCGAATGGTCTGCAGTACTAATGGTTTTCTATGGGTGATAATGCTTTTTTAGAGAAAGAGACCCGAAAATTTTCTGACTTTTTCCGAAAGTGAAATTTTCTATGTGCTAAGCGTCGGAGAAGTATTTTTCCATAATCTTTGAAGATGATATCATACGTTGCATAACATAAATCTTTTTTGTCACAACTTTATTTTTCGGTATTTTTTTCTATGTTTTACAATGACCATCTCATTCATTCATATGCTTTTGTTTTGTTAGATCATTTTTACAATGTCACTTCAAGTATTCGACATTGATGATGAAATACATTGTATCCATCATCAGTTTGTTAGACAAGCAATTTTACATCCACAGAAGATTGCTGTTATTCTGGAAGAGCAAGCAGTAACATATAGTGAAGTGCTTTATCATGTACAAATATTATCATTGTATTTAATCCAAGAATCTGATGTTAAAAAAGGCGACATCATTTTCCAGTGTGTAGAAAGAAGTATAGAAATGATTATTGGTATACTCGCAATAATGACAACTGGATGCGTTTACTGTCCATTAAATCCTGTAGATTCATTTTTGTCCCTAAAAGTTCTTATGGACGACATTCATGCAAATACTGGTCTTTTGCATACAAAAACAGAAAATAAGTTTAATACAACAATCAATGATAATAATATTCATTTTGTTAATTCACAAGAAATCATTAACAACAGTGCTAATAAAACTGTTATTTCTGATGAAAATTTACATGAATTATCAAGTGTAGATGTCACAATTGAAGACACTGCGTACATTATCTGTACATCCGGATCCACTGGCAAACCAAAAGCTATTCAGAGTCTGCATAGAAATATTGCAGTGTATTCTAAATTATTAGATCAACAAAATATTTATAATCAACCTGCCACCATTATTCAAATTGCTGGTTGTTCATGGATTTTACATTCATATGAAATATTTAGTGCATTATCAAGTGGCGCTACTCTGATAATGTTAAAACCTGATGGTAATAGAGATATAAATTATTTAACTGAAGTTATTGAAACTAAACAAGTAACATCGATGTGGGTCAGCCCGTCAACTATGAGAATATTATGTGCATTTTTACAAACAACAAATCAAGGTCATCGTCTAAAAACAATTCGAAATTTTTGTACCGCAGGTAAAAATATTTATAATAGTCGTTTTCATATGATTATTTTATTGTTTAAAATTCTAGGCGAGATAATGAAACGAAAACTTGTTTCGTTGTTAGCATCGCATTTATCAGCAGATGCTAGAATTTATAATATTTACGGTTCCAGTGAATGTGGCAATATAACAGCCTATCTTATAAATAATCCCCATGAAATAAATTCATCTACAGTTATGCCCATTGGTCGTCCCTTATCAAGTTATCAATGTTATATTTTGAATGATGAAATGCAGCCAGCTAATCTTGATCAGATAGGGGAAGTTTATATTGGTGGTAAGTAGGAAAAAATGGACATCAAGTGACGGATGTATTATTTACTGATCTTTAAGAAAAGTAAATGATTCATTTACGGATTTCCACATTACTAACCATTTACCTCAGACAAAAGGTAAAAGTAAAGTGACAAGCTTACGTCAAGTTTTGACAGCTGTTTTAATAGAAACTAAATCAAATAATAGCCAGAAATCGGTGAGATACATTTTCAAAGCTTAAGAGTTAGTGTCCATGAAGAATTCAGACGGTTTGCTAAAAGCTCAAGTATTAGGTATTGGAACAAATTCGAATTGTTTGAGAGAGTTATATTTAATAGCTAGTTGTGGATTTTTAACCTTTCGTTTTCAGACATTGAAAAAAAACTGCCTAATGGAAGACCTACTACAGTCAGATGAACTTAACAATAAATTCGATACACTAGTTTACTATTACGATAGATATTAAGATATAAACCACCTTTATATCTTATTAATATTTATCGTATACTATTACGCCCTCCCCTCCTCAGAAATCTATTTTCGACACAAGATGCGGGATCCTAACCAATTGTTCATAGTGTTTTTAGATTCATTTTTATTTAATAAAAATTAAAATTAAAAATTTTAATTTTTTATTAAATAAACATGAATCTAAAAACAGCTGCTGTTACTATTTTATCAATTTTAAAACTTTTATCCCAAAACAGATATAATGTTTCAATTTTTCATAGTCTTACCTAGATTAGATTAGGATAAAAATTTAAACTCTGTTTTTGATTGTCGATTTTGACTGATAGAAAAATAAAAGTTTCTGCAACGGTAGCCAGGTTTTTCTTCATTTTCCAGGAATTGTTTATTTTTCTCTGAGACAAAATCGATAATCAAAAATCAGGCTCTGCTATACCGTCGACAAAAGGATTAGTTAGGTTTCAAAACTAAACCGAGATTTTTAATTCCTGAAATAGTGGAAGGGCCTTGAAGTTACGAAGGCAAAAAGCCGTTAAAAGATAAAAAAGAACAACAACAAAGCAAGGAGTTTTGTGCCGTTAAAAAAATATACAGAAAATTCAAACTTCTGACAATGTAATAAAACAGTTGGGTATAAAGTTAATATCAGGCTTTTGACTGATATTGCTGCGTTTTGAGCGTTTTTCCTAAAATATTGCGTATCTTTTCCGTGCAAAAGGTGCGTTTTCTCTTAGAATTCGCAAAAACGCAATTTTCTCTAACACAATTTTTCGTGTGAACATAAAGAACGCGTTTCTAAGAATGCGTTTTCGGAATTTTATACATGTAACTGCATTTGAACGACTTTAGTTATCATGAACGTGTTCAATTGCTTTAATAGCCGAAACACCAGTTACTAGGATTCGGTCAAAATGTATTTTGCGAGAGAGCCAAGAACTCTAGCTGAAACAAAATACAAAAAGTTTCAAAGAAGCAAATCCTAACACGAAAAAGCGTGTTTTGGGAAACTACGTTTGAAGTTTTTCTTCTGCACCACCCATTGCTCCATTTACAAAATCACTGAATTTCTGAATCATTATCAAAATAAGCGTTTTGCCTATGCATTCTGATATCTAATTTCCGTAAATACCATTTATTTTAAGGTCCCGGTGTATTTAAAGGTTACGTGTGCCCTATTTTAACTGAAAAAGCCTTAATCAATATACCAGGTGTAAAAGAAAAATGTTTTCGTACAGGGGATTTAGCTAAATATAATTCAAATGGTGAAATAATTTATGTTTCTAGAACAGATTTTCAGATAAAAATTCACAGTCAATACATAGAAACTGGTGAAATTGAAAACGTAATATTGGCTTCCTGTAATGATATATCAGACTGTATTGTTGTAAAAGTATCTAACGAAAAATCAGAACAAGACTGCGTTGCTGCATACATTGAACTATCATCATTACAATTGGAAAGAGATAACCTTTCACTAGAATCTCACATACAAGAATACTGTCGATCTCGTTTACCATTACACATGATTCCATCATCATTTATAATATTAAATAAATTACCGTTAAATTCAAATGGAAAAGTTGATCGTAAACAACTACCCGTCAACAAATAAGAATTTTAATTTTATCATGACAGACATACATAATCGAGATCATCATTTATTAATTTCCTTTTTTGAACCAAAACAAATGTAATATTATTTATTAAATCTTCATTGTTTTAAGATTTTAACTAAATACTAGGCAACTACTATCGGAATTTTTAAAGAAGGCCGGTGGAAGAAAAGCTTATAACGTTTGAATGGAAAGTCGTAGATACCTGCGGTTTTCACCATTCAATAGATGACAGTCGGGGGCACATGCCAGCATGGAA